GTCCAGTCAGAAGTTCCTTCACAAGGCCAGTCAGAAGTCCCTTCACAAGGCCAGTCATACGTAACAGCATGAACAATGACAAAGGAATGTTTTTGTCACAGCTCATTTGAACAGCTTTATGAATTGGCTTAAGACTGAATGACTTGTGATGGACTGACAGGGACTTGTAGAACTTGTAATGGACTCGAATACAACACTGGCCTGTGCCCAGGAGTTTTTGTCCATTTTACATGAGATGCAATCAGCACACATGGCTAATTTCTGTTGAAATGTTTTCCTGTGTGCCCTATGCATCAAGTTGAATTGTTTCCCTGGTAGCCTTTTTGTCTTTGATGCTGAGGGAGTGCTTCTGGTCTGAGCGAATTACTTTAAAAGAGATTTGCCAGGTTAAACTCTCTACAAAGATCACATTAACCCTAACCCCCAAGGGTTGCTGGCCCTAACCTTCCCCATTAACACAAAGTTAAACACCCATATGGGGACTTGGTGCACAGGGGCTGTTGGACTTTGTTTTTCTGAGGTAAGCCAAACCCAACGCAAAAGCCAGCTGTTATGGGCCTACCAGACCTATCCCCACAGAATTAAACACTTTACCACTGTTCAATTCTGTGTGGTTAGGGAAGGTTAGGGTTAACTAAAAAACTATAGTCATCTTACAGCTGCAACTGGCGATTAATGGACCCTGCTGGGAATCTCTCATTTATAACAAATGTTAATTGTCAGAGATCTCCACTGAAAAAAGGCTATATAATGAGTTGTAACTGTTACTGGGAAATTGTTCAGAAATAACACTACCAAGTGGCCTAAATCCACAAAACTAAATTGTTTTCTACACATGTTGCAGAACAGAACTGTGCAATGTTAGCTCGAGTTGAAGAACTCGGAACCGGGATGGTGTTATTTGCCGAGAAAAATCCAGCGATAAAAATCCATTGACCTGTACCGTGTTTTTGCTTTTGGTGCCAGCCTACTGCCTGCTGTCACGGCCCGTGCTGTCAATGGTTGCTGCCTGGTTCCAGCTGACGGTGGTCTCGCGCTAGAGGATGAGGGACGGAGGTTGGCTGACGGGGGTCTCCCTCTAGAGGGCGGTCTCCTGTCTGACGCAAGGTTTGTAGAGGGAATGGAAGATGGCTGTGTGTACAAAAAAATGAATCATATATTGTGTTACACTGTAACTTGTTTCAACTGCAAATATCACTCCTTCAGAAATCCAACTGGAAGTCAGAAAAACAAGGACACTGTGAGCAGGTTAAAACTGGTATTGGTTTCCAATTCGTGATGACACACGCAAGAAACATATCAGCTGAAAAGAAGGGAATCAGCTGATCTCAGAAGCCGCAAGCCCAGGGCTTAGTTCACCACTTCATGCTTGAGGATGTCTTGAACAAGAGAGATTCCCTGTGTCAAAATGCTTGGAATGTTTGAACATGATCTAGCGAAATCTGTATGCAGTGCCACGTTTTATTTCCACACGTCCCCATACTTTAGTTATTCTGATTGAGTTTGTACAAACACAGGCTTGAATACTTGATGGACGTTGAGCGTGTAAGGAGCTCTCAAGCAGCTGTGGGACACTGTCAGGCACTGTAGCCGATACTGCTCCGCAACACAGTTCTTGGAGTTTTGAAAAAGTGAGGATGCATTACGAAATGCAATACTCTGCCTAAACAAATAACCACTGAGGGTCGGCACTTACAATGTCAATCTTTGTGAAGGACTGCGGTGGTATCTTGTCATTTTCAAAAGTCTGTAGTTTCAGACAAATATAAAAACCATGCCTAGGACAAGTGTGAAGTGGAATAATACCATAGGCAAGTGGTTAAAAGTTCTGGTTTCAGTCCAGAGCAGCAAATGCACTGACTGAAATAACTTCTTAACCCTCCGACAAAGTGAAGACTGCACTGGTTTTGGCACTGGCATCAGGAGTGAATGAAAGATGACACTGAGAAGCATGCATGGTAATTGTAACTACATGTAAACTGCTGCAGGATGAGTTTTGTGAAGTGACTGCTGCTCACCTTGGAGATGTCATCAGAGACGAGGGGTGGCTCGGTGTCAAAGGTAGGGGACGGAGCTGCCCCACGCTGGTCCACTGCATTGCCAAGGGAAAGACGGTTCAGGGACCTACTCAGCATCTCCTCCTGCTCACGCTGAAAAGAAAAACAAACAAAAATAAAAAACAACATCAAGCCAAAGATGTAAATAAGTACATTGCAGGTTCTTGAGCTGCAGCTACGTTACTTGTACGTGGTGAGTAATTTGCTCTGAAAAGAAGTACCCTTCTCACTGGCAAAGAACTACCCAGCTGGTGGAAAAATTTCAGGTTGATTCACAGAGCACAAGTGAAGATTACCCATTCCAACAGTAAATGGTCCTACCTCAGACTCACATGAGCCCGCGGGCACATGCTACATGTATGAATTCTCGGCAAAGGAGCATCTTTCCTGTGCAAAAACATACCATCCCTTATTCCTGCAAGGAGGGGATAGCATGTCAGCATTCCCACTGAGATTAACACAGGCTCCTGTTTCATTGTTTGAGAAAACTCAACTGCATGTACGCAGATTGTTAAAGGTGCTCTGGTCAGATCAGGCTGATGTTGAACATTAATGTGCGCTAAAGTAACGGCCAATTTGAATTTCTCCACAGCATGACAAAATGCATACAGGTCACGGCAGAGGCTAGATTTTACCTTGGATTAAACATATCTACCTTTCCCTTCTCAAGCAAGCTTAAACACTGCCTGTCCTCTCTCAGGAAAACGGGTGAAACTGACACCCCTTGGTGCTATCTGATGCCATATTTTTCATTGCGTTGACAGGTGTGGTTCGATGAGACAGAGGAACAGAGACCATACTCACCATCACGCTCTCTGCCTCTTGTATGAGCCCTGCAGTCTTGGCCTCTAGCTCTGCATTGAGACGCCTGTTTGGGAAAAAACAAATCCCAGATGAGGCAACATTATTCGCCTTTTACAACTGCGGGTATTTTGTTTCGGAGAAGGTTGAGCACAACCAACTAGACAAAACAAATTTAAAAGAGAAAGGTGTTATTACATCATTACTATTAAACCTGTGCCCCTTTACACTGGAAGCACTTGTTTAGGGTTCATGTTGTATGGTTCATGTTTTACGGCTCATACTAAAGTGGCTTTATCAACAATTAAAGTTGGACACTGGCACTAGACAAAAGTTGGGGTGTCACATCAACAAGCCCATTAACCTTTATGAAGCATGGCGGAAACAGTTGGAGGAAGCTATTCGAAGAGGGGTAAATTTGAAACAAACACAAAAGATTTTAGCCTAATTAAACAGTGCACTCCTAGTGTGTCCGCCATACCTCAAACAGGCTGGCTAATACTCACATGTACTCCTCTTCTCGGCTCATGAGGTCCCTCGGGACCCCTTTGGACCCGGGTCGCGACCCCATGGTGACCCCTGCACCTCCCGCTGACCTCCGGCCACTCGATGAGGAAGGTCTGTTTGCCTAAAAGCAGGAGGAAATGCAGTCAAACACTCATGGCCAAGTCTCCATGAAGCTTTCTGGCTCAAAACCCAAGAGTCCAACATACATGTATATGCACAGTGCACATGATTGCAACCACAGTGGTTACACTTTACTTAACCCCTGTTGGTGGTACATGTATGTCACTGTGGTGGCCGCTTCAACTTGCATGAGTGGTCAGATGACTCGATAGACAAACAAGGGAGGTACAGAGTACCACAGTGAACATTTATGTGCATAAAAGGCATTAGCATGGGAATCAGCAAGTGAACTAACACGCGCGTACTCCCATTCATTTGCACTATACATAATGTTACTGGTTCAAAATGACATTGAGTTTCGGTCCTCTATAAGCCCATCTGGAGAGTTGCCATGCAGACCATTATTAATGAGATGGCACGCAGTCCTGGCAAAATTTGGACTTTCTTTCATGAATGAGGCAAAGAAAGTGGAAATCTTGCTATTTAAATAAACGATTCGAACAACAAAGGGATAATATTGTAATGTTTTGGGGCATAAAACACTCATAACAGCCCATGGATTCAAACCCATATCCTCGCATTTGGTGCTGCGAGCCCTAACCATTACTCGAGGTATTCAGTCGTTTGGTTTAAGTGAATTTACTAACTACACCGTATGGGTTAAATGCCGACTGTATAAACAAGTGATAATGGTTCTCAGCAAAATGTGCACTTTGATCATGTTGATTAACAGAAAACCGTTATGGTCCAAATGGTCTGAGCACATCTTGTATTGGGCGAATATCACCTTATAACCACCACAGCGAGTACCTACATGTATCTCATTCTCGTTCAGAATGAGAAAGGTGACGAGGTCTTGTATAAAGGAAACTCTTTTGTAGAATAAGTCTACACAAATCATCCAAACCCTAACTACACTAAATAAAACAAGGGGTAGAGTCTTGTTTTACTTCTCATGGCTACCCAGTGCAGTACATGTCATGCGTCCTGCTAGTACCAGTCCGGTCACATAGCTACATGTACATAGGACTGTCCAACGCTAAAAACAAGATTCCACCTCCCTCCCCTCACCTCCCAAAATGGTCAAACCAACATGCAGAGCTTGCTCGGCCATTGGCCCGAAGGTTATACACTGTACACAAAGTGTACGGTATGGTGCGATTGTCATTAGGTTGAGCATGAGAGACTGGTGAATAAAAACTCAGACTTTTCAAAAAATGGTCCGTTTCCTTCAAAGGCAAATCAACGAAGGATTGAATACAATAAATTTGCATGAGATCAAAGATTGCACTGAGCACTGTTAAATTTTTAAGATCTTTAAGTAGGCCTGCGTGTACCTTACGATTGCTTTTAGAGGAAAATTGCACTGAAAAAGTGGAATTTGCATCATCAGTAATATTCCTCAGAGGCTAGATTAAAAAATTGATAGCATTACGACCCAACGGGCAAAAAAAAGGCCCAAAAGGCACACGGCGGTGTGGCAGTGTTTCATGAATCTGCTCAGCACAAAAATTTGCTTAGCCCAGTATTGTCTTGCTCAGGAAAAACAGGTTAGGCCTACCAGCCAACATGGCCAACATGGCCAAAAACTAAAAACATGTAGGGCTAACATGGCTAAGCCATGTCATTTTTATGATAAGCGAACATTAGTTGAACACCAGTCACAAGCAATATACAACACATGAACAGTTTAGTCGGTAATCCTGTTTTTATCAAGGGAAAAAATCATGCTAATGATCTATGAAATTGGCCCTGACCACTCACAACCTCACATGCTTAAGTTACACGTACGTTTCCACGATTCGAAGTATCCGCCATCTTGGAATTTGTAACCAGGGACGCGAAGTTCATTGACCTTCGGATTAAAGATGATTGGTGGCGCTGTTACGTTACTTAAAGACAGCTCCGTCCACCACCGTGCGAGTCGTCGGCTACACAGCCTCGTACAAATTAGTGAAAACACTAGGAAGTTTAGAAGACAAAGAAATGTCAGTCTAGAGCTGACATGTAAAATCTTACAATTTTGCAAACAAAGTCATTGGACTTTGTTGGGCAATAGACGACCTGGCCCGATGGGCTGTTTTACGCATTACAACTTTGTCTTGCATGACTTTGCTATAGGCCTACCCGTTTCAGACAGGCGTTCCGGGTCGCGTCGAACCAAATAGAATTAAGAGCGACTCGGGTCGACCCAAATAAAATGTGTTTTTAGACGGACTTCATATATGCATTTGCATTGGGTTCGGCCCTTGAAGAGATCGACGTGTAAAAACCAAGTCAATCAGGTGTCGTACCGAGCGCCTCAAAGTGTCGATTTCATGCAGCATGTATTTTAAAAGACCGCATTTAGATAGCGCGCCTAATTAGGCCTGAGTTGCACGGCATAGCCAGACGAATCTGTTGGGTGATGCATACGGTTTCACTGGCCATGGCCACGCCGGTTTCACTTCCAGGTATTTACGGCCAGTGTATCGCATGTACGGCGGGATATTGGATTCACCCGTCGCAGCACGACCGCGCGTGTTTGACTAAGCGTCAAATGCTGCATCGCAAGCGGCAGGCACACATGTTCCAATTGAAAAACAAAAGTCATACACCCGCAGACAGAATTTCCCGGTTTTTAAAGCTGGGCACGCTCGGGTGTTTGCGAAAGAAATGGGTGCCCCTGTCACGTGGACCATATCATGCTCAATTACTGTCGACAAACACGGAGAGAATCCGCCCCAGACTGCAAGAGGACGCGCGTGACCAAATGTAAAGAAATGTTTCCCGCCAGAGTCCTTCTTCTCGTCGGGGCAGTTTGTCGAATGGTGCTAACAAGTGGTGCTCTGAAACGGCGATGACTGTGAATGCTACGTATGACCACGTCTCTCTTCGTGATTGTCATGGGAAGTAGGTGAATTGTGAAATTGTGGCGAAAACGGGTTAGCTATTGGCACTGAAGCCAAGATATTTTATGGCCAACAACCCCACAGGTGAGAACGGCCAGAGCCGACCTAGCCGAAACATCGAGTTAACACTTACTGGTTTTTCTAAGAACCACACCTCTTCCAAAAGAGACTGATTCCATGGCGTACCCCCAAGCTAGACCCGTAGACAGTGCCCGACGTATGATGAAGGAGTATACGTCGGGCCCTGTTTATGGGTCTACCCGCAAACCTATACGTCTCATGTAACTTCCACCATGTAAAGTTTGAAATCTTAATTAACCCCACAGGTAATGGTGTCATCATTCAAACTGGAGACATTTACATCATCGTTTCAAAAGAAGATTTGAAGATAGAGAATCACAAAGGTCGGCAATCAGAAGAGAATCTGTAAATATCGTTCCACAATGCTTACTCTCTGCATCTGGTAAGGCGTCGCAAAGTGGAAGGGCAGACAATGACACAGCGCGTATATTGTGCACTATCGAGACGTGCGCGCACGTCCCTATTCACAAGTCCACCAAATATACTTGGAATTTAACGGGAATTTAGTAACTTTATCCGCTCCGAGCAGGAACAAAAGAGGGCGTGTTTTGAAATGAAATGACAGTTCTTTGGTACCACAGACATATAAACCCTTAGACGGACAGCTCCTACTCAAAACAACGGTGGGGTACTATTGCTGAGACGGCACCCGACTAAATAAAAAAGCATGGGTAAATTCACCCCTTGGTATAGGGAATTTACACACAGTTGAAGAATTGCAGCCACAAAATTCTATGAAGCCATTCTTCGATTGTGAAAAAAAATCGTTTTTTACTTATCTGGCCCATGCATATTCGAAACAATGCGGTTGCAACATTTTAAAAGAAGAGACAGCAGTACCAAAGAGTAAAAAAGGAACATAATTTGAGAGTACATGTAAATAAATACATGCAATCTAAGTATGTCACCGACGAGCGATTTCCACTAAACGAAGTGTGCGCAACGAACTCATCAGACTGGAATTCGTGTGCACGTTGAACGCCGGTGAGGGCGGCTGGGGCGGACACGCTTGTTCGTGTACACGCGTATGCATCAAAGAGGGCGCTGTGAACTGTGTCCTGGCAAATACCGTTTCTAAATCTTCCAGTTACCGGTACATGTATTCTGAACAGTCCTCAAACTACAGGTTGAGTACATGTTCACTCCATTATCCTTAAGCTAATACCTATACCTTAATCGTGTTAATATTTCTATTCACAGTAAATCGGACCATTAATTAGACATGTGCGTATATATGTAACTTTCTTGAATAGCGTTTTTTATATCAGTAAAATTATATTTAAGTGTTTTATGTACGTTTTTAAGCCAATCAGTCTGGAGAGCCCTCGACAGGAATCTTTTCTTCTGGGCAAATCTACCGGGGGCTGGTTGTGTTTTGTCCTTTGTTCCATCATGTACATTTATGTTTTACTGTCTGTTTTTGTTTACCTGTGTTTTCCGAGAAATGAAATAAATAAACAAAATAAATAAATGATGCCAGGAACATTTTGATTAATGGCGAGCCTGCAAGCCTTTTTATTGCTTTTGAATTTGGCACGGTCAGATGGCCGCCCAGTGGCTTCAATGACCTCTGCTGGCTGCTTTTAAAGAGATCACCAGTGCAAGAAATAATGCATGTGACCGCCAAATGTTTTCCAAGATGGACGTCTTTACGACGACGACGTGGCATGCAGAAGAAAACTGAATGAACAAACCAACCACCGTTCCTACGCGCGCGGCCCACAGTCCCCCGGAAAAGTGACACATGGTTAACAAACGGACGAGGTTGCCGAGAAGCTCTTTATCTCTCGAATTGGTCTGATTCGATTGGTCGGTTGGATGCGCTGGTTGATAAGTCCATTGACCAGTCGTTTTGTTATCGCTTGGTTTAATTGATGCTTGATCGGAAGCTTCTGGCCTAGAGGCGTGGGATATTATTCATTGCTTTAAATCATTAATTTCACTCGAAAAATAGACCAATCTCAATTTGCCAATCTTCAGTTTGTATGGGCAGCAAAAGTTTCTAGAAATGATCGATTTTACCTCAAATTCGTTCAAAATATACATTTGTCTCTCCAATTTCAAAGAGGGTTATTATTTTCAACTAATATAGTTAGTAGCCCGTGTAGTGTTTTGATAGCTGCGTGGAATTTTTGACACTTTTTCTTTTTTTTTTAACTTATGGCCAGGCATAGTTATAGCAGCAACTTGTAGGAAAACCACAACTGTGGCGTATAAGAGCAGTCCCTATTGAGATTTCAAGCCTGTCTTAAATAACAGGAAATTGATTTTTAAAAAAACTTTCTATTAATAACCAATGGCAGTTCCAAGAAACAGGAGTTACATCTTCTTCAGTTAAAACCAGATTCTTTCCAGTCCAATGTGACGCCTTTGCTTATCGCCCACGTAGGGCTAGAGGCTGGGAAAGGGCTGATGGCTTTGCACCATGATTGGCTACATTTTCCACGACTTGTGACCGCGAGGTTATCACTTCCTGTTAGCTAAGCGTTATTTAATTTTTTTGATTCGCCGATGGCAATGCTTTCCCATCGGCAAATTTTCGAATATATGATAAAACACGTCCTTGATACAGTCACAGTGTGGTAATTTATCTTCTCACTAAGTATCTCTGATCACGTGTCTTTGGGCAATATATTTCACATCATTAATCAATTTTGGATGAACGAATAAAGTATAGTGAGAATAGTTTCGGCAATGAGGAAGAAAAAGAAAATTAAATATCGAATTGATAACTGCCGTTGTGTAACGCATTGAACGAACTCGTGCGCCTGGCAGAAATTCACCCACAATGCTCTGTGCGTCGTTAGCTGTGACCCCCTGTGACGTATTTCCTTCAACAAAATCTATGCAAAGTCATCAGCCCTTCTCAGTGTGAAGGGTGCACTGAAGTGAATGTTCCCAAGTCTTCTCAGCAGCCATTTTTCAAATGACATCCCTCACCTTTCTGTGGCTCGTCTGACAAATTTTGTCAAATTTTTGTCTGCTTTGCCCCCAGATGGGTGCCCCTGAATCTGCAGAGATGATTCTGGGCCATACTGACACAATCCCACAATTTCTTGGTCCACACAGACCCCTAGCTCTTTGCGAAAGAATCTGCAGAGGTACTTTTTAAGCGCCACGGCCTGGCGGAGAATTTTCCTTGAATTGGGACACTGCGCAACTATTCTAGCAGCGGAGGCTCTTTTGGTATAGGAACTGCACTTCGCTGGTTCGTAAAGGATATGAATTGTGTATGTTGCAGTTGCGTAGCTGTTGACAAAAACGAACACTCCCGACCAACATAGGGCGTTTGAAACTAGTCTGGTTCTCTGATCAAAGATTCCCTGACGAGGCTTGCTAAAATATTTGGCCAGGTATCACCAGCGGATATAAACAGATCATGACGCAACATCAGGGATCACATAGGAAGCCCTGGGTGGATCCTATGTTTAGAGGAACATGCAAGCTGTTAATGTTGGCGAAAACATGCAAGAAACTCCACGAAGGGAGCAACATGTGAGCAACAAACAAAAAGAAATATCTCATTGTGCGTACAGACACGGCCGGAAATTCCCGAACATCAATGATGCTATTCGAAAGTGGACGGGAAAAGTTGAGAATATTTCGGCTATTTTTGAAAACTGGAAGAATTCCTCTGGTTTGGTCAAGTGGACAGTGGGTGATACCGGACTTTTGATTCGACGAGAATAGTGGAAATCATTCTGGTATCCAAACTAGTTTTCAACCAATGAGGGAGTGCTTCTGCTCAAGGCAGATTTTTAATACGAAATGATACTCGTAAAAATTCAAATTTGAAACAAATCATATAGGGAAACTGACTTATGAATGATTATAAAGATGAACAAAGAAATTGAAAAAAATAAAACCCTTCAACT